AACTGTAGATGGTGTCCACTTTGTGATACTACTGCTGCATTGTGTCTGACTTAATTTGTTCCTTACTCCAGTAATATACCCTAATTCAGCTGTAAACATCATAATGGTTTGGGTCAGCAACATTCACAGCCTAAAGACAAGACCTCTGTTAGGTCTGGTTTGAATTGTATGCGTCCCTGTCATCACCTTTCTCTTAAGCTTGTCTTCCTCTTCCACTTTCAGCTGTTTTAATAGCAAAGAAGAACTAGCATTAAAGGTAGATGGAAACCCTTCAGGGAAATCATTCTGACTGCTCAACATTCATGAGATAAAAGCATCTTACATTTGTCTAAATCTCACCCAGGTTATGTAAAAGCAATATTCACCCATGAAGTGGTTCAGAAATTACTGACCACAGGGTGTTTCTGTCTTTTTTTTTTTTTTTTTTTTTTTTTAAATTGTTTATGTGTACCTTGGACAACAGCAAAAAAATATGCTGTACCCTGGCAAACCACATGCTATCCTTGGGAAGTGCTCTCATTTTTGGGAAGAAATTAAAAAAATCAGTTTAAATTCTCACCTTGGACAGAATAACATTTTAGTTACCCAGCTTTCAAATTGCCTGTGTTTTTTAATGTGATGTGTTTAGACATAAAGATCTGTGCAGAGCCTTTATGAATGTATTAATGTGCATTGATATTTTACTTTATTGTAAAATAATGTAAGCTTGTCCCACCTATAGCTACGTTTTAGGAATGGATCATTCCAGTTCAGGTGCAATAGTGAAAGGTGCTAGTGGCTGTCTTTGACAGTCTTTGATGCAAAGAATGTCACACACCTAGACCACTGTTCACTGGCATTAGAATTTTGGAAACAGTGATAGAAGACGTTGTTAGGCCTCCCCATTCATTCCCACTTGGTGAACACTAGGCTGGCGGAACTAATGCAAACCTGTGTGAGATCATATTATAAATGCTATGGCTTAGCTTAGGCCAAGTTAAAAAATACTCCTCCAGAAGGACTGGGGAGTACTTCCAACTGAGTTTGATCTGTTGTTTGGGTGTTGCCATCCAGAAGACAGCTGCATCCTCAAGACAAAGGTCTGCAGTAAATGGCATGGCAAAGAAAAAATTGCCAGCTTTGAAGCCCTGCCTCCTAAAATCAGAGCCCTGGAACCTTTCTGTAGTTCTCTAACTGCTGTGCTGGGGCAGTTAGTGCTTAAAAAGCAGTGACAGTGTTCCTTGTCTGCCAAAGTACAAAGGCACCACAGAGCTCAAGGCTAAGGTAATGAACAAAGATGGAAACAATTCTAAAATATCAAATAAAAATAGTGCTCAAATCCCAGCAGTGCTACAGGCTTGGGGAGGAGTGGCTGGAGAGCTGCCAGTCAAAAAGGGACCTGGGGGGATTGATTGACAGCCTGATGAACTGGAGCCAGCAGCGTGCCCAGGGGGCCAAGAAGGCCAATGGCATCCAGGCTTGTGTCACTTACCCCTGTACTGGCACTGGGGAGGAGCACCTCGATTCCTGTGTTCAGTTTTGGGCCCCTCACTCCAAAAAGGACATTGAATGACTCCAGCGTGTCCAGAGAAGGGCAACGCAGCTGGTGCAGGGTCTGGAGCACAGGTCGTATAAGGAGCGGCTGAGGGAACTGGAGGGGTTTAGTCTGGAGAAGAGGAGGCTGAGGGGAGACCTCATCGCCCTCTACAGCTGCCTGAAAGGAGGGTGCAGAGAGCTGGGGATGAGTCTCTTTAACCAAGTAACAAGTGATAGGACAAGAGGGAATGGCCTCTAGTTGCACCAGGGAAGGTTTAGACTGTCTATTAGGAAGCATTTCTTTACAGAATGGGTTGTTAGGCGTTGGAATGGGCTGCCCAGGGAGGTGGTGGAGTCCCCATCCCTGGAGGTGTTTAACAGTTGGGTGGACATAGTGCTGAGGGATCTGGTGTAGTTGGGAACTGTCACTGCTAGGTGAAAGGTTGGACTGCATGATCGTCAAGGTCTCCTCCAGCCTAGTCGATTCTGTGATTCTGTGAACACTGATTCTCCAAAGTTTTTTCAAACTACCTATAAAAGTTAATTTTGTTAATTATATCACACTCTTGTTGGAGCATAAGTGATGATCATGGTGATTTTTCTGGGTTGAAGCAGAAGCCCAGGGTAGTTTAACTGACTTGTCTAAATTTAGTGATTGGAGCCAGGGCTGAGAAGAGCATAAAATCTGATTTATGATTAAGCCACAAAACTACCCTTTCATTAAGCATTACCATGTCTTTATATTAAGACTATGTCTGTTAGAGCAAGTACTATTCAATTAGCTTGACAAATATTTATGTATTTCTGCGGCTGGGTGAACCAGGAAAGTAATGAAGGATGTTTATTCTGTGGTGAAAGACTAGCCTAAAACTAAGATATTTAATTAAGTTTTTTTCCTTAGACTTTTTGGACCATTCAGGAGCAACTTTTCAGAATGGTTATATATCCACAGGGTTCACAACTGGAGCTGGAGTTGTGCACGTGAGCTGTGAAAATCAGTCTCTTAAGCTCGCAGGACACCACAGTACTACGAAATGCAGACTACCTGATTACTGCAGTAGCGTGTTGGCAGTAGCATGTTGGCTACAACTTCTATTATTCCTCTTGCATGTAAGGTGCTTTTATTAGCTCATTTTCTGGTCATCTTTTGCACTATTTCCACTTCTCTAACTCCAATGGTCTTTCAATGCTCTTTGGATTTCAGCACTTTTGTCTTAAAGAATTCATCTTAATACCTGCTTAGTTTACACTGTTCAAGTTCTTCATACATCCTTCATTGCTTTCATGTTGAACTATTAAAGCCTCTCCCACAGAGAAAGTAAGCACCTCTTGAAAACCTTGAAATGCCCATGTGGCCTTGTGCCTAGGGCAGATTAATTCCAAGCTATAAAAATAAATAGCTCTCTTTGTTAAAATCCTTTCTTAAAGGGATTTGAATTGAGCAGAGTTACTTTATAAGCAAATGACTTCTTAGTACTGAAGTTTGGAAATTAAATTGAAAATATATTATCTCTTCATGGTTAAAAATTATCAGCTTTGGTATTTTCAACTTAGCTTCTCATTGAGCTCCTACATACCCAGTCTTCCTACTTGAAGTTTACATACTTTACATTAGGGTTTTTTAGCTAATACAGAAGAACTCCAAAATCAAGCCTGTCATGGGGAGAAGAAAGAGAGGGCAGTGAGGGAAATTCGTATCTCTAACTGGACAGTCCAAGGGGATTATTCCAAGAAGCATGATTACAGCACAGCAGTATCTACCCCCTCCAAACCACACTCCCCTCTATGATAGTGCTGTGGTTTGCAGTGACCACCCTTGTGCTGGGGTATTCTGTAATTTTGTTCTCACGTGGTCTTATAAAAAAATCCAGCCCGCTGATTTCTGCACAGTTTGGCCCATTTACCAGAGAAGGTTTTTGAAACCAGTATCTTATCTAATTTTTTATGAACACTAAAAATCTCTGATAGTTTTCTGGAAAAGCAGGGTTTAATCCTGCTATTCTTGGCAAAATTGCTCCTACATGTTTACATCAACATTGTTCTTAGATGAGTACAGCCCCCTTACTTCCACCCTAGATGTGGCTACATCAGATAATGTGATGGGGTGTTTTCAAATTTCAGTTAACTTTGCACTAGTACTTAGTACACTAAGGGGAAAGGTATGTTCATAGCATAAACAGAGTATAAGAGAGAGAACAACAAACACATAAAGGCAGGCACAGTTTTGGAAACTGGAATGAGAATCCCTCATGGAAGAGTTAGGAGGTTTCAGGGAGGATACAACAGGAAGTGAGGGCAACAGCCCTTAATCAAGAGCTTCTTCCGGAGCTGGGGAGTGTCACGGTGTGTAGAGGTCATGATGAAAGCAGAGGGTGTAGCTGAAGAAGCAAATAGAGACTGTCAGTAACTACAGGATATATGGGCTGAAGCTTAGCAAAATTTCCATAATGAGGAATAATAACTACAATTAAGAGGCAGAGGTGAGAGCTAATAAAAGAATTCAGCATTAGAATGCTGTGCAAGTCTAAACATAACTGGGGTAGGTATAAGGGCTATAGACCATGCTGCTATTGCTAAACGAAGCAAAATATGTCCTTATATCATAGGGTGGTGCTATTACATTCTTACTCCTCACTTTAACTACTTTCCTTTGTGAAAATGGCAGGCAAATGTTGTGACCACTCTTGCCACCCTACCTCTTCCATGCAGCTTGCAAAGGTCCAGTCTCCTTTCATGAACTTTTCCTGGTCTTATCTTCACTCCTGCTCCAACAAACCACCTGCTAACTTTCAAGTATTATTTTCTTATTTAAAGAAGTAGAAGAATATTTTGTCTTAAAGTAAGTGAGAAGGCTGCGGTTCAGCTGGTACATGCAAAAGGTGTATCAGGTTAGCTCAATCCAGAAATATTTTTGCCTCCTCTTAACAAGCTGTGCTCACACCAGTTTTGTCACACTGTTCCAGTGGAGCATTCCCAGGTGCTCCAACACAATATTCTGCAGTCGTGTACTGTGGAATCCTTTGTATAGTCCCTAAAAAAATCGTTCCTGGAAGGCATTATTAATGCCACATGGCTAGGAAGAAAGGTGAGGGCCAACAAGTGTGGTTTTTTTTTTAAGTGACAACACGAGCAGGGCTAGTAAATTGTTACCTATCTCAGGAACCTTGTTCATTGTATTACTAAACACCCTAATGAAATAAAAGGAAGGACTGGCAAGCATTAAGTTTTCATTGCAGTAGGAGAAAATGCAGCTTTTCAATGAGGCATGATGAAAGGCTTGGTACCGCTGTAGAACCACAGACGCAGTGCGTTTTTAACGCCCTGAGGGTTTTTTTCAGGATTTTTTTGACGAAGGCTGACAGGCCCTTTCCAGCACCCCTGGAGCGGCTCTGCAGCCGCTCTCCCGGCTCGTGGCTGCCCCTCCGCCCG